GTTTCTTTAATTTTTTGATTAATTGATTTTTAACTCCTCTTAATTTTAAAATTAGGCAAATTAAATCTTCACCCCTATATTTATTTGATACAATTTCTTTATAGGTCTCTCTTAATTTTGAAACTATACAAATTAAGTCTCGACCTACTGTTTTTTGGGCTTAAATGCTTTGCAAGTCCCTTTTCATTTTAAAACTAAACAAGTAGATCCCAACTCCAATTTTAATTTTAAATTGATGGTTTAATAATTATACTCTAATAATTATCTTATTCCTATTTATCTCCGAAAATTTTATCCTGACTCTATCATGTGTATATATATAATGTTTTCTTTAAAAATATTGAAATTAATGATACAGGGTTGTTTTAGCACCATTGACAAGAAGCAGGTCTTACAACAATATTCCACAGCCACATGCTATCTTATACTACTCTCAGCGTTCATCCAATGGTGGATTTCTCATTGCTGAAGCCACTGGTGTTTCCAATACAGCACAGGGGTAATGTTTTCTCCGTTTCCTTACTCTATCCATTTATCTATGATCTATCTATATTCTATACATAAAACAAGCATTTATCGAGTCAAGTGATAAAAAAATAATTTAATGTCTTTTATGTAAGATTTTGTGTGTGAAAATTATAGATGGACAAAACAACATTATGAGAGTGTGACCACTCATTTGGAGATTCAGTCTAATTTAATTTTAATTTTAGTTGGTATCTAATATGAATATCGAACATGGAGAGTCTTATACAAATTATGTATATATAAATGTGAATATATATATATATATATATGATCGTTGCTTGATGATATTAGTGATCATACTGGATTTGAAGGTACCCAGATACACCTGGAATCTGGACAAAAGAGCAAGTGGAAGCTTGGAAACCAATTGTGGAAGGTGTTCACGACGAGGGAGGCATCTTTTTTTGTCAACTTTGGCATGTCGGCCGCGCCTCTAGTTATGGTATCATATATGTAGCTTAATTTATTTCTTTTTCCTTTTTTAGAAACTTTTGTCTTTTCTTAAGATAAAATTTTCAACCAAAAAAAATTATTGATTATTAGATGATATAATAGAATTAGATATTAGATTTATTAAAGTAAATTAAATTAGAGGTTCGAATTATGAAGTTATAAATGAAGCAAACTAAATTTAACGCATTATCTTTTATTGTGTTCTTATAATATTCTATTCGAATTAGTTAATCCATTAATTCAATGCCTGAAATTATACTTAAAAAATAAACTTTAAATGAAATATGTAGTGTTTTAAAAAGGGATAGATTTTTTTAACCAAAAATGGACGAGTTAAATACTTTTTAGGATTTTTCTTTTTAATACATCTAAAATAAATATAAGGCAGTATCTGTTCAAATACTCTCAACTAATTAATTATGAATGCTTATACCCCTGTCGATGTAACTCGTGACCTCTGAAGAATGATGAGTCTCTCAACCATCGAGGTGAATTGGTTCATCCACTTTTTAGATATTAAAAGTAAGAGAAAAGGGAAGATTCCCCTAATAGCTGCCTGTGCGCCGTGAACCATGGGCTATAGTTGCCTTTTTCTGTGGGGCAATGCACAATATAAAGCATCCGACCGCACGTCTACCTACTACGGCACTTCATTTGAGCCTGGCCTAGTCAAGAGACAGGGAAATAAAGATAACATATGGAATTGCAATTCATATAGAAACATATGTGAGTGAATAGATGTTTGATGGCCCTTTAATAAGATTTTGGGTTTAAATAAGATTTGACGGAGTTCAATTTCAGATACAACCAAAACCTATATATATATATATGATTATCGAACACCAAAAATCATGAGGTAAACTAGCTCATCCTATAGTATAGTGTATATACTATATACCACAACGCTTAGAATTGTTTCATTCAGGTGAAGAATTGAAGATACAGAACCCAATTCATTAAAATGACTTTACTAAAAGAAAACAGAGTTTCTTATACCTTGTACGTAATTTTCTATCACAGCTTTTCAGCCTAATGGTAAAGCTCCGGTCTCTTGTACTGATAAAGGAGTGACACCAGGCCTTGATGGCATGGATTGGTCACCACCTCGTCGGCTTAGAACCGATGAAATCCCCGGCGTTGTCAACGACTTCAGGCTGGCGGCCCGAAATGCCATCGAAGCGGGTGAGAATACACATGATGCTTTAAGCTTTGAGTTACTGAACATTGATTATTGAAATTAAAAGTTCCAATATTAATTAAGCAGGATTTGATGGAGTTGAGATCCATGGTGCAAATGGTTACTTACTTGATCAGTTCATGAAAGACCAAGTAAATGACAGAACAGATGAGTATGGCGGAAGCTTGGAGAACCGGTGCCAGTTTCCGCTCGAGATCGTCGAAGCAGTGGTGAACGAAATTGGACCAGACAGGGTCGGAATGAGACTATCACCTTATGCTAGCTACATGGAAGCTAGCGAATCAACCCCCGAAGAACTAGGTGTTTACATGGCGAATGCAGTTAATGAATTCGGCATCATTTATCTGCACGTTATCGAGCCACAGATGATTAAAATAAACGACAAGTACGAAACTCCTCATAGTCTTCTCCCAATGAGGAAGGCCTTTAAGGGCACTTTCATTGCTGCAGGAGGGTACAATAGAGATGATGGTAACATGGCTATTGCTGATAATTACTCAGATTTGGTTGCCTTTGGGAGGTTGTTCTTGGCTAATCCGGATTTGCCGAGACGATTTGAGCTTGATGCTTCTCTTAATATGTACAATCGGAACACTTTTTACATCCCGGATCCAGTCGTCGGATACACCGATTATCCATTCCTTGAAGATTCTTCATAGTAAAAATGTTGTTCTTGTTTGCATGTAATACGAAGAATGTATTGAAGTATAAGTTGAAAGAATTGTACAAACAAGTCAAGTCGGGATGTGGGATACCTTTGATTGCGACTTTGCGGAAGTTTGTCTTCATGTTAGAGTACAGCCTCTTCCAGTCATCCAGTACCATCTTACTTGGAGGCAGCAAATCGAGAGGATTCTTAGGTTTCGGCTTTGGTGCCTCTTCCTCCTCCGCAGCCTCTGCTCTGGGCTTTGCAGGCTCCTTCTCGGTTTCTTTCTTGGCTTCTTTCTTTGGTTCATCCTTGACCTTTGATTTAGCTTCTTTTGGCAGCAATGGCTTCTTAGAAGGAATGGGTAATGCAGATTCTGTCTGCTTGACCTCGCCCATAATCTTTTTAAAATTCGGTTGATTAACCATTGTCCAGTAGTACCTCTCGACATGAGGAAATTCCGAGGTAAAACTCTTGGTCATCAAACAGGTAAAACCCAAAAAAAGGTTCATTCTCATAACAATATCAGCAAGGGTCACAGAATGTCCGACCAGGTACGTGTTGTCAGCGAGATGAGTGTTTAGAGCACCCAATGCTCTCTTCAACGCAGCAATTGTTGCTTCCTCGGCCTACACGCAAGGCCATCCATAGAAGTTAAAGGATTAAGGATGGTAAAACCAAACGAAATAATACTAAGATCAGAAGAACCGGGAATCATCAATCTTTTTTCATTATAGACAAGAATATCTAGTTTTCAATGCCATACTTATTTCATAACAATGAAATTGCAATTAACTTTTAAAACCGAGCATTGAAGAAACATATTTACAATTTAATAAACGAAAAAGGGACCAATTATATGAGAAAGCCGAGACAGAATAACATTCGCTTAACATATTCAACAAAATTTTAACTGATAGGTAAGCAGAGAATGAGGGATGAAAATAAATATATGGGAGAAAAAACGTACTGGGGGAAGATACACAGCACGCCCCATCCTTGGTCTAATCCAAGAAATGATATTAGCATCAATTTCCAGTGAAGCAAAATCAATCCTTTGTTCAATAAGGGCCTAAAAAAATCCACATGAAAGAAATAAAACATCATATAGGGTAGCAAAGTAAAATCATAAAAAAAATCTAATCGAAGTGCCGAAAACAAGTGAAAAATCTTACACATTCGTAAAGAGACGAACCATACAGAGAATTATCAGCCTTCAAGCGAGTAACTAAAGCAACAATAAAAAGACCAATTAGTTTTAAGAGGATCATTTGAAGACCTCTGGTGAAGATTAAGGGAGTAATGAGTTCAAACCATATCGAGCAATGGCGTTGCTTTCAAAAATGGGACCATCAGGTGTTTCCAACACAGGAACTTAAAAAACCAGCATGTTTGACATCTTGAGAAATTCGGGTGTTTTATTTGAGAAGCCCTTCTCGAAATTGTCAGCAAGTTTGACATCTATACCACTGTACTCTGCGGCAATGAGAATCTTGAATGAATTCTTATTGGTCTTCACAGCATGCAAGATCTACAAAATAGGTCAAACAAATGTGTTATTGAGGAAAGTAAAATGGTTCACAATTCAAAGCACGAACCGAGTCCAACAATTACTCGAATGACTATAAAGGAAAAGCTTGAAGCAAGTCAGAAATTCATTGCCAGTCGAATCAGAATGAAAAAATATATAACAGTGTGGTTTTACTTCTATAAGAAATCATGCTGTTAGAACTGATAGTACTTGTCCCGAATTATTCAAAATTTTTATCCAGATACGATATTTTCTCGTTACAACTTGATTTTAGCAAAATAGCAAACAGCAAAAACAACAAAAAAAGGATTTAAATTCCCAAACACACAGAATACCTGATAAGAAAGATGCAAAGTAAAGATTATGCTAGTCTAATGCTCACTCAAGAAATCTCAAAAAATATATCATAAGAAACGAAGTGCATCGAAAAAAATACTGGTTACAACGATCTAATTGAAGAAGAAATGAACTCACAAGAGCCATAGCTTAACGAAGAAAACGTTTAACACTCCGAGATTAGATCTGAAACAGAGAAAACAAAGGCGAGTTCAGTTAAAACAAAGAAATTCGATAGATAAACCCGGATCATTTTAACAGATACTTGAATATGCCAACCAAATTTAGTGCAAATTAAGTATACCCCGATGAAGAACCTTTCTACCCAGAGTGAGGGAGCTAGTAGAGACATGAGTAAGACAGTCCTGCAAAATTAGGGTTTTAAGTCAAATTGTCATATATTTTATTTTTTATTAACATAATAAACGTTTAAAAATAATTATTAATTAATTGATTTAAAAGTTCACATATTTAGTATATTATAATGTTCGAACTTAAAACTTCAAAAAAAAAATATTAATTCTTTTAACATCCTTAATTCATATACAAATAGAATTATATTAAATTAGAGGATTATAGTGGAGTTGAATGATGTATGAGATATTGATTAGGTGGTCTAACCGTAATATTATCGAACTACAAATTTAAAATTTTAGTATGAACGATCCTAACCACAAAGGATTTTATATTTTAGATACGGTATAGTTTAAATTCTATGGGAGCCCAAATACGTTGATGAAAACGCTAATATTTGCAAATTGCACAATATTTTAGGTATAAATAAATTAAATTTGAATGAATAAAATTATATTCATATTCGTTTGTTTATTTTTTAAAAGATTTATGTTTGATTTATGTTTGTTCTTTAATATTACGTTTATGTTTATTTAACATTCAATAACATGTTTTTTAGTGTTAATGAAATATTAATTTAATGTTCACAAACATATTCAATTAATGTTAGATAATTAACACTCTTTTTATTATTTCATTTGCAAGTCAAAGAAAAATAATGAAATTGTGCCACTTAGTCTTTAAGTTTCATAGGCTTTACAATTTTAAATTCAAAATTCATCTTATATTCAAATTAGTCTCTATCTTCACCAATATTTTAAATGTAAAAAAAATAGTAAACGAGTCTCTAAACAAACTTATAAATGAATCAATAAACAAACTTATTCGTTGACAAAAATAAACCGAACATACATATGTTCATGTTCATTCGCTTATTAAATGAACACAAAAACTTTGTTCATACAAATAAACATACATAAATGAACATTATACAAACTGTTGACAAACAAATTCTCAAACACTATGTTTATTTACACCTCTAGTAATAATAGTTAGCGCATGAAAATGAAAAGGTAAATATGTATTTTTGTACCCAAATTTGATTTTATGGTGTCATTTGTATCTAAACCTTTTGTGGTGTCTAATTAAGTATCTAAAATTGACTTTGAGTTTCAGTTTAATACATATTTTTTTATTAAAGAATATCAATTTTATTTTTTAATCAAAATTAAAAATTTAAGATAAATAATTTATTTGAACACTGAAATTAAATTTAGATATCACTTTAAATATAAAAGCCAATTTCATATATCTAACTGGACAAAATAAATTTAGTATTAAATTGAACTTTGAGGTTAAATTTAGATACAAAATTGCACCTTCAATTCAACTATCAAAATGTATATTTATCCAAAGCGAAAATTGTAGTGGTGGTTTTTTGGAATGAAAGACGTGGTCTCATTTCCAGCTTTTTTCCACTTAGCCGCCTCCCGCCTATTTTAGTTGCCTTTTCTGTAAATCTTCAAAGGTTGTGGCTCTTCAGCAATTTGCCAAAGGTAAAGGAAAACTAAGGAGGAGGAATAAGAAGATATCAAATATGGCCGCAACAGCCAACTCCGCCACCATTCCTCTTCTCTTGCCTTACAAAATGGGGAATTTTAACCTCTCTCACAGGTTTGTTTCTTTTACACACAAATTATTCTTAATCTTACAGCAACAAATTTCGACTGCTGTTTTAGTTTATCTTCATATTGAAATCATGCTTTCGTGATCTGGAATTCTGGCTTGATGAATTTTTGTGTTTAATTGTCACTCTTTCTTTTCTTGCGTTGATTCTTCAGTTTGAAAATCTTAGTAATATAGTGAAGATTTGAGTCATTTTTTGGGTAACTAAGGGGGGGGGGGGGGAACTACCTAATCTATACTAAGCTGGCTGCTTCTTCTGCTCTAATTGCTTCTCTTATGCCTGGTGGGGGCGTTATTTCTATGTGGCATCGGCCGTCTCCTGCGCGTGCCATTTTGGCCAAAATATCCGCTAGTCGATTTCCTTCACGGTGTATCAAAATATAGTGAAGATTTGTCTCAACTGACGAACGCGTTGCTGCTGAATTTCTTTATAGGTCTCTCTTAATTTTGAAACTATACAAATTAAGTCTCGACCTACTGTTTTTTGGGCTTAAATGCTTTCTAAGCCCCTTTTCATTTTTAAAATTAGACAAGTAGATCCCAACTCCAATTTTAATTTTAAATCGATGGTTTAATAATTAGACTCTAATAATTATCTTATTCCTATTTATCTCCGAAAATTTTATCCTGACTCTATCATGTGTATATATATAATGTTTTCTTTAAAAATATTAAAATTAATGATAAGGGTTGTTTTAGCACCATTGACAAGAAGCAGGTCTTACAACAATATTCCACAGCCACATGCTATCTTATACTACTCTCAGCGTTCATCCAATGGTGGATTTCTCATTGCTGAAGCCACTGGTGTTTCCAATACAGCACAGGGGTAATGTTTTCTCCGTTTCCTTCGTCTATCCATCTATCTATGATTTATCTATATTTTATACACAAAACGAGCATTTATCGAGTCAAATGATAAAAAATAATTTAATGTCTTTTATGTAAGATTTTGTGTGTGAAAATTATAGATAGACAAAACAACATTATGAGAGTGTTACCACTCATTTGGAGATTCAATCTAATTTAATTTTAATTTTAGTTGGTATCTAATATGAATATCGAACATTGAGAGTCTTATACAAATTATGTACATATGAATGTTTTTTTGAGCAAATATATATATATATATATATATATATATATATATGAATGTTTCTTGATGATATTAGTGGTCATACTGGATTTGAAGGTACCCAGATACACCTGGAATCTGGACAAAAGAGCAAGTGGAAGCTTGGAAACCAATTGTGGAAGGTGTTCACGACGAGAGAGGCATCTTTTTTTGTCAACTTTGGCATGTTGGCCGCGCCTCTAGTTATGGTATCATATATGTAGCTTAATTTATTTCTTACCTACCGCCATTTTCCTTTTTTAGAACCTTTTGTCTTTTCTTAAGATAAAATTCTCAACCAAATATTTTTTTATTGATTATTAGATGATACAATAGAACGAGATATTAGATTTATTAAAGTAAATTAGATTAGAGGTTTGAATTATGAAGTTATAAATGAAGCAAACTAAATTTAATGTATTATCTTTTATTGTGTTCTTATAATATTCGATTAGAATTAATTAATTCATTAGTTTAATGAGTGAAGTTATACTTAAAAAATAAACTTTAAATGAAATCTGTAGTGTTTTAAAGAGGGATAGATTTTTTTAACAAAAAATGGATGTGTTAAATACTTTTTAGGGTTTTCCTTTTTAACACATCTAAGGTAAATACAAGCCAGTATCTGTTCGAAGACTCTCAACTAATTAATTATGAATGCTTATACCCCTGTCGATGTTTGAACCCGTGACCTCTAAAGAATAATGAGTCACTTAACTATTGAGGTCAATTGCTTCATCCACTTTTTAGATATTAAAAGAAAGAGAAAAGGGAAGATTCCCCTAATAGCTGCCTGTGCCGTGAACCATGGGCTATAGTTGCCTTTTTCTGTGGGGCAATGCACAATATAAAGCATCCGACCGCACGTCTACCTACTACGGCACTTCATTTGAGCCTGGCCTAGTTAAGAGACAGGGAAATAAAGATAACATATGGAATTGCAATTCATATAGAAACATATGTGAGTGATTAGAGGTTTGATGTCCCTTTAATAAGATTTTGGGTTTAAATAAGATTTGACGGAGTTCAATTTCAGATACAACCAAAACCTATATATATATATATGATTATCGAACACCAAAACTCATGAAGTAAACTAGCTCATCCTATAGTATAGTGTATATACTATATACCACAATGCTTAGAATTGTTTCATTCAGGTGAAGAATTGAAGATACAGAACCCAATTCATTAAAATGACTTTACTAAAAGAAAACAGAGTTTCTTATACCTTGTACGTAATCTTCTATCACAGCTTTTCAGCCTAATGGTCAAGCTCCGGTCTCTTGTACTGATAAAGGAGTGACACCAGGCCTTGAAGGCATGGATTGGTCACCTCCTCGTCGGCTTAGAACCGATGAAATCCCCGGCATTGTCAATGACTTCAGGCTGGCGGCCCGAAATACCATCGAAGCGGGTGAGAATACACATGATGCTTTAAACTTTGAGTTACTGAACATTGATTATTGAAATTAAAAGTTCCAATATTAATTAAGCAGGATTTGATGGAGTTGAGATCCATGGTGCAAATGGTTACTTACTTGATCAATTCATGAAAGACCAAGTAAATGACAGAACAGATGAGTATGGCGGAAGCTTGGAGAACCGTTGCCGGTTTCCGCTCGAGATCGTCGAAGTAGTGGTTAACGAAATCGAACCAGACAGGATCGGAATGAGGCTATCACCTTATGCTAGCTACATGGAAGCTAGCGAATCAAACCCCGAAGAACTAGGTGTTTACATGGCGAATGCAGTTAATGAATTCGGCATCATTTATCCGCACGTTATCGAGCCACGGATGATTAAAATAAACGACAAGTACGAAACTCCTCATAGTCTTCTCCCAATGAGGAAGGCCTTTAAGGGCACTTTCATTGCTGCAGGAGGGTACAATAGAGATGATGGTAACATGGCTATTGCTGATAATTACTCAGATTTGGTTGCCTTTGGGAGGTTGTTCTTGGCTAATCCGGATTTGCCGAGACGATTTGAGCTCTTCTGGTCTATGATGTTACCAAGCCGACAACATTCGAAAATGTAAGCCGATGGCTGAAGGAACTCAGGGACCATGCGGATTAAAATATCGTGATTATGATGATCGGGAACAAGACTGATTTAAAGCATCTCCGGGCACGGAGGACAGTCAGCTTTGCGGAGAAAGAGGGACTTTCGTTTATCAAGACATCTGCACTAGAAGCAACGAATGTCGAGAAGGCTTTCCAGACCATTCTTTCCGAAATATACCGCATAATTAGTAAAAAATCTCTTTCTTCAGATGAACCGACGCCTGCGAGTATTAAAGAAGGGAAGACCATTGATGTTGGGACTTGGGCAGCCGACTCAAAAAAGGCTTGCTGCACATCATCCTGAACTTCATCTTCCTCGTAATGAAGTTGAGGGTTTTATTGTAGACTCCTTTTGTGACTGTCACAAACATTTGAACCATTCATGCATTACTGCATGTCAGTGGATGTTAATGATGATTTTGTTATGATTGCCAAGTGTTATTGATTGATTCGTTTTGTTTACCATACCTATTTACCCATGTCAATGGACAAATTCAAATATTTATGAATATCTTACAAATTTTATTATTGTGATTTCATATAATATTCGGATTTCTCAATTATTTTACATAACATGAGTACAAAATAAATGCAAATTCAGATAATCATGATGAGAATCAATTAATTAAACTTTCAAAAGATTCGGATTAAAATGTCTGAATTTTTTTATTTAAAAATATTTAATAGATTTGAATATCTGATGAATAATTAATTCTTGAATTCATATATTAATACTCAAATTTAATGAGTATAGATGGTAAACAAATTCAGCTGACCAACACAAGGATGACAATTCAAAAATATGAAATGCATGTTAAAATTATTATTTAATGTCGAATATTAAACACCTTAAAATGTCTATCCGTGTTATTTTTGCAGATTCCGACTTTGGATTATAAAAAAAAAATATATGTTTAATTCCATGATGATTTAAATTTTTTATATACATATTAAACTTTAAAATATATAATTTACTTTTACATATTTAGATATCTAATGGATAATAAATTCAACTCTGATTTGGATAGTAATATCTAAATATAAAATGGATTTGAATTTTTAAATAAATGTATAGATTAAGATAATTCACAAATTATAGATATCCGAATTGTCGTTCTTATCTGACACAGAAATCTATTTCAGTTCCATTTAAATTTAGCTTAGTTTAGAAATAGATACGCACATGGTAAGTAATCTAAACATAAGTTGCAAGTTATTAACAATCATCACAACTTGCGCTTAAAACAGAGGGTTCAAACAGCCAACACTTTACGTTTCCGAAAGGTTCATATGATATGCAACATGTTTATGGTCTCTCTAAAAAGAGTTAGATCGCTACATGGTCGACTAGCCACAGCAGTTGTTCTTCTGTTCAATCGACTGTCCTTTCATTTCGACGGTTCCGGTTGACCTGTCCTTTCATTTCGACGGTTCCGGTTGACCTGTTCGCAGCTGGTTGGCTACCCATTCTGAAAAGGTTTTGATAAGAAACCATATAGGTCAACTTCATTAAAAATGATATGAAAAACATAAATAAATGAATAAAGGTGGAGATTTAGACACAAACGAAAATGATTTTTCTTAGACAAACTAGGCCGGTGACTATTGAATCGAAAGAAAGAGTTAATTGCTCCGAAGTGCAAAGGGAAACTATTGGCCAGTGACAATGGTGACATCTTACTAATAGACAATTAACCAATTACTAGCAAACAGGTTAAGAAAAGGAACACATGGAAGAGTTGGAAGTCGTTTTACTTTTTCTTGATTTCACCAGCCATGGTTAAGAAAGCCTGCTCCACATTGATTGTATCTTTAGCACTCGTCTCCAGGAAAGGAATCCCGAGTTCATCAGCAAATGCCTGCAGTTCATTGAACAACAGAATCGCAAATTAATCACATTATGATGCCAAGGTAAATTATTTCAGCAGCAGCAGCTGGTTCCATCTGTTTACACAATTTGTCATCTTAACAATCAATATCCATTAGTTTCAAAAGGAAAGGAACATCTCTGGAAAATACGTGGATTAACTGATGATGAAACTTCAAACATTAAAAGTAACAGCACATTACCTTTGCTGTTTGCGTGTCGACATCCTTGTTCTCAACTAAATCACATTTGTTGCCAACCAGAAGCTTGCATACACTGTCATTAGCATATCTATCAATCTCATTCAACCATTGCTTGGCATTATTGAAGCTCTCCATCTCGGTAACATAGTAGACAATATGTTCCAATCCCAATAAACAGAAGGATAGTGAGACGTTTATGCAGTGTCAGAAACGAGAAATAAGAAAGTGATACAGCTAACAATCATTTCAGAAGAAAAAGCACCACCACCTTCTAATTGAGTTCTTCGTTATGCTAAGATTTAAAGATCTCTTAAAAAGTAACCCCCCTTCTTTCACCAACTTGAAAAATACATAATAAGAAATGTAATTTTAGGATCACATGACAATTTACACGTTGAAACAAAATCTGGAATATTTACTGTATTATGTTTATTGTAATTACAAGAACAGAAATCAACAGATAATGTGATGAATGATGATCAAATTTGTTTGAAACACACCGCCAAGATTTACTTCTGGATAATAATTTATGATTTACATTTCAGACGGGTTCAGTTTCTTACAATTATCCCATGAGCTCCTCGATAATAACTGCTCGTGATAGTCCGAAAACGCTCCTGTCCAGCAGTATCCCACTAAACAAAGAAGAGTAGAACATCACATGTTAATAGAGACGGCTGAAAAGTGGGGGAGGGGGTAGAGGAGAACAATGCATGATTATTCCTTGCTCATTTATCCCAACACTAGACAGCCACAGTCAAGTAGTCAACTGTCACGGGAAAATTGGATTAACAAATTAAACTAGTCCTACAAACACCATCCCATCGGCCACAACTGAAAATTCCTGCATCATGACACAATCAAACTCACTTTTCTGGTACATCAAAACTGAAGGTTATTTTAGCTATGCAAGCCCTCGTTTCCTATTAAATTCATAAATAGGATAAGACAAACATTGGTAGTGGCCCTTTTACATCGTTGCTGAAAAACATAGTATAGTTCAACTACCTAATCTATGCTGTGGCGTGTTGTTTCCGCCATGAAACCAACAATTTGACTCAAGATTCTCACAAGTCAACTAGCTTTATTAAACATGTATAATTATAAAGTTCCGAACAATAAGGATAGAACAAGGCAACAAGCTTTGAGCAGAAACAAACTTCAAAATAACGATTACAGGCTTAAATGTACATGATACCAAATGCCTAGCACCACTTTTTTTTTTTTTTAGGAAACATGCTATACTCACAATTTGCAGCTTGATTGTCTAGCCATCAAGCTCCACAGTTCTGATTTTCTAAATATAAACAATTAAATAAGATAAATTTCACATTTTTAGTACATTTAGAAAAATCTCCATATATTTATACAACAGAGAGAAGGAAACTCACAAAATCAACACCGATGGTACTGATGTAGCTATCCACGTAAGAATCATCCTGGAAAAATTTAAACACGCACACTTAAAACTCTTAAAAGAAATGCGAGTAGATAGATAGATAGAGAGAGAGAGAAGAACACAGATTTAACTTTTTTTTCAAAAGAAATGCGAGTAGAAATATACAGAAATGGAAATAAAACATAAAATCAAAAAGAAAGAAGGCTCACTATTCGTTGCTCATTTTGAGATCCAAAAGACTTGAAAATCTGAGACGAAAGAACGGAGAGTTCGGCAGAGAAAAGGGAAAGTTCGTGTTTTTAGTTTCTTCCGATTGCCGCTCTATTTGTCTATCCCTCTCAATTCCATTTCTTTATTACTTAGGGTAAATTATACATTTAGTATCTAAATTATTAGTTTTATTTCATTTTAATATCTAAACTTTCATTTATTTTAAAATCATATATATTGTTTACTTTTTATTTCGTTTTGGTACTTCACCGTTATAAACTAAACAGAATGGTTACAATATGACACTTTTCTATAGGTAAATTAAATCATTTATCATTCAACCATCTTTTCACTCATATTTGGTCGCTGAAGTTTTTTTTATTTAATTACTTAACTTTTAAATTACTCCTAATTAATCACTCTAACTTTTAAATTTAATTTTTTATTTTAATTATATATTAATAAAATAATAATAATAATTTTCATGTCACAAAAACTATTAATAAAATAAATTAGAGTGATTAAATCATGAGCAATTTGAATGTTGAGTAGGTAAATTGAAGTTTTTTAAACATTAGTGATCAAAATAAGAGTGAGAAGATAATTAACGACGGGTACTAAAATGAAACAATAATAAACATTAAGTATGATTTTGAAATAAATGAAAGTTTAGGTACTAAAATGATAGAAAATTGATAATTTAGGTACCAATCATGTAGTTTATCTTTTTAATTATTATTATTAGGGTAAACTATACTCCTAATATCACTTTTATTACGTTTTTATCACTCAACTATTATTTTTCTCAAAATCATAACGTTATATTTTCATTTCACTTTGGTTTGTCACCATTAATTTTTTAACAGTAGGTGACCAAAATGAAACTAAAACGATGATATGTATGATTTTAAAACAAAAAATAGTAAGGTAACCAAAACGGAACAAAAGTAATAGTTGAAGTACTAAATATGTAGTTTATTCTTATTATTATTATAGAAATTCAAATCACTTATAAAATTATTTTAGATTTCGGCCTTTTGTGGAAATTAATAATATTATTCTACTATTGTAATTATGAGATAAAATTTCAATTTTATATTTATTCTTCCGATTTTGAACAAAAAGGATAATTCCCCATGAAACATCATCAATCAACAATATAACAAATAATTTGTAAAATCATCACTCTGGGCAAAATGGCCTTTCCAAGCCATCCTTATGGCTAGGGATTCTGAAGTGTCTAAGCCTCCCTTCTTGCTTCTTCATGTACCCTTCACACAAAAATGCCATGGAGAATTTATCTTCCACGACTCGGTTCACATCATGCACGAACACGTCGGTCACTCCTTTCTCTTTATTCTTCGCCATCATACCTGCGGTGTATATGGCGGTCATCCTCCCCGGAGCGTCCTCATAATACCCGGTCGGCGCGTCTACCATTATTAAGTCCCATTTCATCTCGTAAACTTCACTCGGCAAACCTTTCAATGCAAGTTGGCACATTGAGTATTTAGGGTCTGTGATTGCTGTGCATTCGGGCCCTCTGCCCACGTCCATGAGATTATCGGCTTGGTTCACCTTGCTGTCATACGTGACATGGTAGGACTCTAACATGGGGAACCGGCGTCGGATTTGCTCGATCCAGGCCTCGTCTTCTTCGAGGAAAACCGTTCGTCCACCGTAGTTGAGCGAACTCCACATAAGGCTATCATGGCCCAGACCGAACACTAGGAAGTTGCAAGGTGACTTCTTCTCTAGTATCTTCGCCGTGACCGAGATCTCCTTCAACGTCTGTTGCGGGGTGATACTCGAAGTCGCGTAGTGGACGAGAGCTTGGGCAAGAGCATGTGGTATCTTGTTGCATGACGGAGAACAATCCTTGCTTTCTTCGACAGGACTAGACGTTTTAGATACAGCAAAATTTCGCAACGTGCTCGGAGACGACGATAAACTTGATCTCAACACGAAAAGGAGGAGAAAAGCAAAGAAAACCCCTAAAAGGAGGACCTTGGAATTGAGGACTTGACTTGTCTTAGGCCTCATGTTTTACCTGAAATGTCTGATGCATGGCATGTTTATATTTGAGCTGCAAATACATTAAAAACTGGTGAAAGATATTGGTATGATACTTTAGTTTCATTGTGCTTGGAAGTGAAGAAACACCAGTTACTTGATGAAGACAAAACATCTACGAGGATTGTGCATGAAGCAACAACAATGTTGTTGGCACATCTACTAGTTTGGTGGATTTCTTTAAATTAGGGTTCATTCTAGTACTCAATTTCTTCTTTTCTATGATTATTAATTTTAAGGTGCAACAGCAACGGATGATTAGGGGAGCCCTAGTTTTTAGAATTTGCTGGTTGAATGATCTTTCAAACAATAATGGGATATCGTGTGACTGATGCTGACTTGGAAGTTGAATTCTCTATTCTGGTTGTTTTTAGATTCCTTAGGTAGGTGATAAAAGCAATGAAAGCTTTCTTGATTAAGTTTGATTCGAAAACAAAATCATAAATGTCCGACTCGAATCCGATCAAATTGATAACTTTACATTGCTATAACAAAAAATAGTACATTGGTGAGTAATATGTTATTTCCCCCTTAAATCGCAAGATACATGTCTTATCTAAGATAAGGTTGAGTATTCAATCGAGTTTAATCAAATTGAGTCAAATTAAAAATATTATTATTAAAGAAAACCTAAAAGCAAAGCAAGACACCATAGCCGACGATGGTGACTCCAAGACTCCACAACAGCATGGTTGGAATTAAAATCTGATGGGACTCCACGACCCCACAGCCGGCGTCGAAATTAAATTTTATGGGGGTGTTCGGCGGTGATTAGTAACCACAAATTAGAAATTAGATATTTGAGATTTTAAGGATTAAAGTTTAGAGATTTGAGAATTTAAGGATTTGAAGTGACAGCAAGGATGATGATCTGTCAATAAATGAGTGATGAGAAATGGGTGGCCGACTGACAGTGGAAACGATGACCGGAGATGGTTGGCAGCGACAATAAAAGGATTAAAATTAGAGATTTTAGGGTTTTTTTTTTGAGATTTTAGATAAATTCAGGAATCTTTTAAAAATAATAATATTTTTAAAATTTTTATTTTAAATAAAAATTTCAAAATATATATAAACACGACAAGTGTTATTTAACAAAAAAAAATTAATTACCGTTACGGTCAGAACATTTAAAATTATTACGTTGACACCTATATTAACTGAAAAACTTTATGCACCTAAATTAAATGAAAAGAAAAAGATATAATTTGAACACTTTTTTTATATATTAAGCTGAAGAATAAACAAACTTAAAATGAAGGAATTGAAGGAGAAAGAGAATTAGAGACAAAATACTAAACTCATATTTTAGTTTTCTGATTATTCGAACTTAACAAATTCAAACTTGAAATTCGAGTAGCAATTCAAACATAAGTTCGAGATTTATAGACGGAGAAAATATAACGGGGAGTGAATGTAACCCGTAAGATTGAATAGTTTAGCTGTACAAAAGAATAATTATAATGTTATATAGCTGTAAGATCAAGTAAATTCAAGATGATGATTCGGCCATTACAAAAAAATTGCAGTGATCTTAATTATAAATTTATAAGGAGCAGCCTATTTTAGCTGTACAAAGCATAGTTCAGAAAGTAGAACAATGGCTCTACCTAAGGTAACAACAAAATGGCCTGTATGCAAATTTCAAACATAAATCACAAACTCACCAAATAGCGACCGATGTTCTCGGTCGTCCACTGCTTTTTCCTTCTGAGCAAACTTTGGCCGGATAAATTGTCCTGGCTGCATGGTTGAAAATCCATGATGATCGAACATCATCAGGCAGCAAGACTTATCAAAACTCCAAAACAATATATTTTTTCCTAATAATTATATTATGACACACTGCTGAGCTTATGGACCGGAGTGGAAGCCGGTATAAGCTTCTTTCTAGTTTCTCAGCCTCCTTTTCTCAGGTGTTAAAGTAGCGATTCAGTTTGTCCATTGTCTTCAAAAGTTAGTTTTTGACTTTTTGTCTGCACGAGCTCTGCGAACAGCATTCTGAATCAGTCTCTCGTGCTCTTTCAGCATTACCTCAAGGTTCCCTCCACAAGGCAACAATGATCCGGAAGAATGGATTCGGTTATTCATGGAAACGCAACCCTAGATTCATAAACAAGATAATTGTTAGTAGCTCCAGACAGTTGAAACTGATAAACTTTGTTCTCCATTATGCCGTGAATACTATAAAAGCAATTGTTGCAAACTATCACATGGAATCAGTTGTCACAAGAATGGATATTGAATCCACCAGTAAAGGAAAAGAAACAGGATGTATTGGCCACAAAACATGAACGATATAACTGATACTATTTACGAAGTTCCCTTACCACTGCTGATTCCTTGGAAGATAGTTGTTCATCCTTCACATTCGAAGCCTTTGGCCTATCGAGTAAACGATGGGATAGTTCATGCTTCTCAGAGGACTCCACAATATCCAGATGGTTATATCCGGCATTAAAATGCTCCTCTGGCCAGTGAGGATTTATGTTATTCTCTTTAGTCATATCAAACCGTGGACAGCCTCTAACCGCAATTGAATTAGAAAATCTGGACAATTCCAATGTTCCACGATGAACAGATGTTGCTTGAGATCTCAACTCTTCAGGCTTCCTAGGAGAACTAAATGCTCGAGTGGAAGCCTTCATAGACTCAATCTCATTTGTTTTCTTATTCCGAGAAGATCCAAATCTACTAGGGCGGCGCATTGACTGGCTCGAATGAGAATTGGGTAGAACTATTTCTGTTCCTTTCAGAGGCTCAATAGGGAAGGCAGTACCCCTGTCTTCTTCAGAGTAGTGTACTTCACTGATACTTTTTCCACTGTATTGTCGTCGCCGCTTCTGTATCAAGCAACACAGTAAACATCAGTCCTGACCAGAAGACTGATTTTCCACTGGAAAGTGTTCAAACACCACACATTAAATACCATCATAAGCGTATGCATTTCGCAAACGCAAATAAGTCTCGCAAGTAAGAAATTACCTGTATGGATGCTTGTGATTCGGCATTCAGATCTGGGGCAGGAACAGCTATTGATTCTCTGGAATGCCTTCTACCAGGATCGTGTGCACGGACTTTCCCAGCAGCAGCTCTTTGCCTGGTTTTCCAGTTAACAGGAAGAACAATTGTTTTATTCCTCTTTTTTTTTTTTTTTTGGGGGGGGGGGGTTAAATTTAGAGAGAAATAACATAATAAATAACACAAACCAAGTCAAATTGAGAATTTTCATCTCTTTCTCGTAGGAATGACAATATAACACAAGCCAGTTGGGTTACGCTACACCTTGCCCGACGATTAGGGGCCCTTTTCTTCCTGAAAAATTGGCTCGGGGGATGGGGCGGATTTCTAATTAAAATTTTTTGGTATGTGGCGGGCGGTTTAAACCAAACCCGTCAGCACTGAGAAGTTTACGAAAATACCCCTTGTTTAATTTTATAACTATTTTTATACATTTTAATTAGAATATTTTAAAACTTTTATATAAAAAATACATTTTAACTTTTTGTATATACTGTACTTATTTTTTATAAGATTTCATAATACGTATTTTATTTAATCTTGTAAAAAGTAATATAATATAAAAGAATTATGTAATATGCTGGCCTATTGGGCTGGTAGAGTTGGAGTCAATGAGTTTTTCTTTTTTCGGGGTCGGATTTGGGTGTTAAAGTTTTTAAGTAAAATCAGGTTGGGGTGGAGTCAAGGCAGAAGATATTCAAGTCAGGTCAGTGTCTGGCAGAGCAAAAAACCGCCCCACCCAACTCAGTTGCTATACCTACTTTCTTGTGGGGGATAGGATTTAGTACGTTCCTTGTTATTTAATTTGCCATCAAAATTTATGTTTAGGATGTTAGCCAAAAATATCATGATTTTCCTAGTTCGACACAATGTCAAATGCAGATCACAAAGAGGTTACTAAAGCTTCCAGCATAATGAACTAAAAGACCATAATATAGGAAAAAGTTTAATAAGCCACAATATAATTTTCACACAATCTTGTTTAAACATTGATGAGATAAAAATAATAATACAAAGTAGGAGCAGATAAATACCTTCTAGATTCCTCTTCTCGAAGCTTGGCATCAAACTCCTTACTAGGTGGATACTTCGGCAAACTAGATTGATCACAGGGAAGAGGCTGTGTTGTAAAGAACTGGAAGAGAAATTTTGGAGTTAAAACAAAATTACCAAAATGAAATATTGTCAATAAAAAGAATGTTAGACAAGAAGTAAGAAGGAAGAAAAGATAGGATAATAATGAGCAGCCAACATAGTTGACATTCTAATGAACTACCCAGCAGAACCAAGACAAGCTGTGCAGTAACAATTTCATCGCTGGCATATTGAACACGTTACTTCTGAAGTAAGAGGAAGAGCAGATGAGTGCCAATGAACCCAATAAGCTGGATAATTATAAAGATTGCAATTGATAACATTTCAAGCGCGGTAAATATGCAAAGAAAGGCTTCTTGCTTATTATAAAGAATAATTTATTTCCATTCTTAGCAAGTTAACCAAAAGGCATATTTGAAATCCCCAACCATGACAATATGTTATGAGTCAAATAGTTGGCTAACCCTTGGTCTTAGTTTGGTAAATACTTGTTCAAAGTTAATTATAGAACTGTAGATGGCACTAGCTTACGTGTATGTGAAATGAAATAAACTAAAGGTACACTCTCCCCTGTTCTCTCATTTCTTGTCTAAAATCCCTATCCCTTTACTGGCTGCTAACTAATTCCATATAGGCCTGCATCTGAATAGGAGCACTCCTATGAAGATTATAAATGGTAAAATGTCAGAATGGAATTCAAGCTAATAAAGTAGGTGTTAAGACTAAGGGGGATTCCTTTTTCTTGCTTGTATAAGAAAAGTCGCCAAATTAAATTGTTCTCAAGGAAATCAGTTGGACTAACAGACAGATTGATCCCAAAAAGAAGACTGTTAGTAACAAGTAACAATTGAAATATCACTGTTCTTGATGACAATGTACAACCTGGAGGAAGACTATATTAACTTTACCTCACTCTGAAGTGCTGACGAAGCAGTTCCACGAGACTCGGGTTCTATCGCAAGAAGAACCTCCAAAAGGAGCAAAGCAGACGCAGGAAAGTCCTTGAATGTCTCAGGAAGACAACTTTTATACGGATGTTGAGGTTTGAAAATGGTTGCATGTGGCAATTTTGATCTCTTCCAATACTCTTCAGAAGGCGATCCACAGAGTTTGAAAATTTTATGCAGTTGTTCAACCTAAAAAGGTTAAATGATCAAAATGTCACACACCACAAATTAAATTACAAAGCTCAACTGCAAATGTACTGCTATAAGTAAATTCCAAATAATTTGTAGCTCAGATCCAGAGTACACATCCATTGCATGGTCATGTCATTAGAATGACAATTATACGGATAAAAGTTGAATAACTTGTAGAAGTACATCAGTTAAACCACGGTCCGGTAAATACTCAACAAACTCAGATAAGTTTTGTCAGTGATATAGAATAAATGTCTACACCAGCAACACCCCTGCTCCCAACCCACCTTAAAAGTAAACAAGGACCCAACACAAACACATAATGAGCAAATAATTTGGCGTTTAAATACATGGGACATGAAATGACAAGCAAATTATATACCTATATCATGGCAGAGTGCTGCTAGTATGACTTGAAAATTAACTTTTGGCATCTAGGTCTACCAATGTCATAATAGCAAAGAGGGACCCAAAATTCTCTTTGCATATATGTTTTTCATCTTGTTAAGCACGAGCGCCAACATGCACACATCCACAAACACACACAACTTATATATATATATGAATACAGTAATAATTCTATGTCATCATAAGGAGGATATTTCTTGTTTCTATCATAAGAACAGAAAACTTCATTAGAAGCTATCATGCACAAGAAGTTTCAAATTATACGTCTTAACGCCCCAAAAAGTGAAATAAGTACCTCAGTTCTTCCAGACATGATAGGCTTGCCAACAAATAATTCAGCAAGTATGCAACCAGAACTCCACAGATCGACAGCAACTCCATAGTTTGTAGAACCAAGCAAAAGCTCAGGAGGACGATACCATAAGGTTACCACACGACTTGTTAGAGGCTGCTTCTGATCGGGATGGAAAAAAGTTGCCAGTCCAAAATCACCAATCTTGAGATTTCCATTACAGTCTATCAAGAGATTTGAGCCCTTGATGTCACGATGCAAAACACCATGACTATGGCAATGGTCAAGTCCTCGGAGCAGCTGTTGCATATAACACTTGATCTGCACAGTTACACATAAAATTCAGCACTTGAACTCCCTAACAACTGAGTCCCTTTTCTTTCATTTGAGCAAAAATAAAAAATAAAATGGCAAAATATAATTCTTCACAATAAATATAAAACAAAAATAATGGAAGGCTGCACTTTGACAAAAAACTGCTTCCACTTGTACAAACAGGCTGACAGCCTAATACCTAAAGAAAGGAATTTCAACCAAATTTGTTTTCCTTTTTTTGTAAATTTGATTGTTTATTGCTACAAGCACAATACGTTCCATCAAAAACCAATGAAAAAACACTCAGAGTTCACAATTTCACAGACTTCTTATGAAATTGTTTTCTTCCACCATGGCTATACTCCTTTGAAGTCTAGAAAATTATGGAATCACAAATTTTATGCTGATCCAAACAACATTAATCAAATCAATATCGAAGATATCAACATACCTGAGCTTCGGTGAACTTAACCTCAGGGACTGCTAAAAGCCCTGCAAGATCATGCTCCATGTATTCAAATATAAGGTATAAGCTTCCAGAAGCCCTGGAAGGAATTAGACCTTCAAGCTTCATGACATTAGGATGATCAAGCCGACGCAAAATAATAATTTCTCTTGCCATGAAACAAACACTTTCAGGGTCCATATTAACAAATCTAACTTTCTTCAAGGCAACTAACTTATTTGATTCAAGGTCACGAGCTTTGTACACACTGCTGTAAGTTCCTTGACCAATCTACATTATTTGCAGGACAGTTAACTATATCTATTGAAAGATGAAAAATAATATAACGTAACAAATTACATCAATAAATCAAAGAGCTAATGCCCCTTGTTGATTGCCATAATTTGTATCAAGATGCACAATAACAACACATGCTCATTTTGTCTGCAAGGTAGTAGCTAATTTATGTATTATATATTTCAAAGTAAATATGCATAAGAAAAACACAAATTTCTGGAACGGGCATCATACAAGAAAAACTATAAATAAGCAATAAAAAATAAAGCTATTGAAAAAACCTTCTCCAACTTCTCGAACGACTCTGCCTTTCGAGGTATCCATCCATTGATGGCTTCCCCAGCTACTGTTGCTAGCCAAGAAGGCCAACCAGCGACCACCTGTGCACCTCCCTCGCCAACAGTTGCATTCATGATCCTGGACATCCTCGGCTGCCCTTGTCCACCCCTACCCTCGGTCTCCACTGTTGAACGTATTTGCAACTCGGAAGGGCTACCCTTGGCCGCCGACGCTGCCTTCGTTTCCTCATCATTGGAAGAGGAGGAGGAAGGCCCTGAAACGGCACTGTGGTTTGGCTGCTGATCTGAGATCAACCGTTCAGTGGCATCTGTTTCGGCCTCCACATTGTCCCTTTTAAAAGAAACAGATAACTTTTTTGCGGATTTTCTCGAGTTCTTGTGGGCCTTGTCCCTTTTGCCATGGTTATTTTCAACATGGTCATCTGCTCGAGCCCCTTTCGAGCAAATGCAACCCATAATTTAGAGCGCCTGTTTTTTTCCCCCAATCAGAAACTGACCCGTCCAATGTAGTCTCCCTCTTCGTTATTATCAAATTCAATCATCATCAACGAAGAAGTGTCTCAATTTTCTCTCTTAAAAGGAATGCAACTTTCTCTAGTGAATGAGAAAGACCCAGATCCCAAATCAAAAGGATATCCCAAAGAGATTGCTAATTCGATAGTTCCCAAAAAGCCTATACTACAATCAACAAAAACCCAGATCTCCAAATAAAATTGAAAAAACTCAAAAAAAAAATCCCAGAAACGGAATAAAATGAGAATTTCATGAACCAAACACGGGACCCCAGAAGGCAGCTTTGCTCCCCAAAAGAAAAAAACAAATAAAACAAAAATGCATATGAGCTTAAACAACGATGAAAGAAAAACAATTAATTTCTGTAAAATATTAACAATTGAATTGTCTAAATTTGTTGAAGACAGGAATTTGAAGAAAATGTGCCATGCAAGTGAATGGAAATTTGAAAAACATAAGTTTCTTTCTTTACTTGGTCAAATATTACTCTTTTTTAGAAGCTATTACAAAAGAAGGGAGATAAACACGGATCTGCGTATCAGTTCTAAGATTACGAATAGCCCTTGAAAAATAATAACTTTTGCTGTGTTTTTCTTTTCCTCCTGTATCAGTGTGTGTTTGGTAGAGAGGAAAATTAGAAATCAGAAACAAAAAACAAAGAGAATGTTTACAGTAGAGTAGAGTAGAGATTAAGGGGGAGTGGGAAAAAAACAGAGGTTGAAGTTGAAAGCGCTGCACGGGGGGCGGGAGAAGGTGGCGCAACGTGGCGCGTAGTGAGGTGGAGTGGGGCTCGGAGAAACAAACAATCAAATATATCCTGGCTGACAGCGACGTGATTTTTATATGGATTTTCTACTCTTCCTCCATTTTTTGGCCCACTTAATTGCCTTCGAGTTGGGCTGTTTCAAATTTTTTACCTTGAGCCCAACGTTATCGAAAATTTGAAGCAACCGTTACTGTTAAACCAAGATGTTTAGCCACACGAGATTGAATAAAATTGTATGTGCTACCGCTGTCAATCAAAATTCGGATTTGGCGCCCTAGTATGTCCCCAAGAACTCGGATTGTGTTTGGATGGAAACACCCTGCTAAAGAGTTAAAGGACACTAAAGATTGTTCCTTCCCCGTATCATCAGAATCGTCGGGGTCCAAGGTCGTATTATCTGCAGGAAGTGGCGGTGGTTCTGGGACCCCATTAGCGACCTCATCATCCAATAAAAATAATTAGGATCCTTACACTTATGACCCGGTATAAACTTGGAATCACAATAATAACATAACCCTTTTTCGCGTCGTGCTTGAGCTTCGGCAGAGGAAATTCGACGAGCGATTGGCATATTATTCGCAGGAACTGTATGCTGGTCTAAAGTAGGGGGACGACCTGGTTGAAACTTAGGCCCAGTAGAACTCAAGGAGGGCGAAGGTAATAGTGGTGCTAATTTTTAGCCGGATGCTCGGCCCAATGATCGTCGGCCATGCAACCTTGCTTTGTGGAAACGGGCCAACGCCTGAACTTCCAACATGGAAGTGGATCGGTGACTCAAAACCTCATTCTTAATATCTGATCGTAACCCAGAAACAAAGCACTCGATAATAAATTCATCCGACAAATTGTGGGTACGTAGTGCCAAATCCTCAAAATGAGTTTGATAATTCTCCACCGTTGTTGTTTGGGTGAGTTTTGATAACTGCCCCGCTGGTGACTCGATTTCCATAATTGAGAATAGTTCCCGAATCGCATCAACCAAATGATTCCAACAGACCAACTGTCGTTGGTGTTGTATCCACTGGAACCATTTCTTCACCGTGCCATCCATCCGAAAGGACGCCATCGTGACACGATGATGGTCTTCAGTACCATAAAACTCAAAAAATTCATTGGCTGATGCTAACCATTCCTCTGGGTCTTTACTCGTGAAGAGAGGAAGCTCGACTTAGACTGGTTTGGCAGCGAGAGGAAAAATATCATCGGAATCGGAGCGCGCCTTTGCCTTACCCCGAATCACACCAGTATCTGCAGTGAGTTCTCCTCCTGTAGATGTTGTTGCCGATATTCCCAACAAAGCTGAAATGGTCTGTAGCTGACGGGTCATCTGTCGGAGAGTCGACTGGGTGGAAGTGTTCCATTGTTCTTTATTTGTGACGTGTTTTTGCAATGAAGTGAGGAGCTGCTCATGGCGGGATGATGTATCTTGGACTGCTTTAATGGATTCAGTGTTGGTTACCATACTGGTAAGCTCAACGAAAGCACCGAAATGTTATGAATCTAATGTCCAGAAAGATAAAATGGAGAATAAATAGAAAATAAGAGAAATATTAGATTAGAACGTGAAAAAAGTTAAGGTTTTTCATGCCTCATGGCTTACAATTTCGTATTATTTATATTCTATTTTCTCACTCGAGCTCCTGCGCACTTCCCTATTTTCTGGGATGACAGATGTCGCATTACCAGCTTCCTCTTTGCTGTACTGCTCATTCGTATGACCTGTAGTAACAGCCTCTCCTAAGTCCTATGACAGATCCAAAAAATAATGCCGTAAGAATATTATTTTTGTAAAATTTAATAGTTAGAGTACTTAATAAAGTAATATCTTATAGTTAGAGATTATTTGTGTATTTTACCCTAAATTTAAATGGTTTTATTTTTTTATAATGTTGCAAAAAGACTTTCTTGGATCTAGCTAAATTATAGTGTTTCTGTATTAGAAAAAACAAAATTACCATCCTCAATCACTTACTATTTCCATTTTTTTTATTAAAACTAAAAAATTCAAATATATTTTCATTTTACAATCAATTGAATATTTATACATATAATCTTTATTCTTCATATGAACTTAAATTATCACATCTTTAAATAATATTTAGATTTGTTAGGTTGACTTTTTCATTAAATTTGGATTAAATGTTAGATAACTTTTTTATAATATCATTATTTATTTTTACTTATTTTAAATTTAAATAGGTCTTGTTATTCATGGGAACTAAGTGGTGTCTTGTTGGTAGGTCATTGCTTCAATCATACATTACTTGGTTTAATAATGTTATGAGATTCTCTAGGTCTAATAGTCTGATTTCAAATGCTTCTATAAACAGGTGGTGTAGGCCCCCAGTTTGGACGATTAAAACCAATGTTGATGTAACTTGTTTACGCTTGTCGGGTAGGCCGATGATCAGAGTTCTGGCTCGCGATTGTCACAATGTCGTGGTTACATGTCATGTTACTCCTTTCTCCGGTTCTTGTAATGGTGGTGATGTGGAAACGGCAACGATAATCTTAAGGATCTAAATGACTATTGAATTGCAGTGTTCGTCGATTACAATTGAGAGTGATGCTGTAAATGTTGTCTGACGGCTAACTTTGAGACAACTTAATATGTCTGTTGTTGAGTTGTATTTAACTGGCGCTCGCTGATTACTTCCCGATAATCACCATATTCATGTCCATGTCATTCAATGTTCAGCTAACACAGCGGCTCATGCTTTAGCACAATTTGCTTTATCGCTTTCATCATCTATGTATTTTGTTTATGATTCGTCTAATTGTATTACTGATGCACTTCTTTCGGATGCCACTATTGATGAATAATATCAAAGTATGTTTTATTTCTAAATAAATAAACAAATAAATATTTAATTTTAAATTGAATAAAATAAATCGTTGATTTTTAATGATAAAATCAATTGGTTTGGATTTAAATTTAAATTCTAAGCCAAAATAGATGGGTCCAAACATGTCTTACTTCTTTTGAGCTCGATAGCTACTTTAGCCTCTTTACCTTAAAGAAATTCTCATTTTAATCTATTTATTTAGTTTATAATCAATTTAATCCCTTAAAATTTTATTTTTATTTGCATCATTATCCCTTAAATCAAAGAGCCAAATTGTTAAAAGGAAAAATAAAATAAAAAAAAAATTATAAGGTTGAAGGACAAAATTATATATTAATCCCTTAACTTTTTTTATGCAGTGAATATCTTCACATTTCGTACCGTTAATCTCAGCATTTGATTTCCCCTCATCCAACGATCCTAAAAAGGTGTAAAATTAAAAAGTTTTACACTATGTAATTTGATCCTTCCCCATATATATATTATATATATATATATATATATATATATATTGCTTCACATGTTAAATTATTATAATTTATTTTTTCTCTAAATTATTATTTTCATATACATTTAGGAAATAAAGTAAATAATGTGTAATTTAAAAGGTAAATCGTGAATAATGCCAAAATATAAGAAGCCAAGGGGGTATATAAGAAAATAGACCAATTGTTTAGGGACCTACCGTAATACTAATCAGAGAACAATTATAACTCGAAAAACAGAAAGCTGGCCAGGGTGCAAGTAACGTGAAAACAAAATCAAAGCCTTTATGTTCCCTATAAATTTGAGGATTCAAAGACATCGATTTCCACATTCTACGAATTCCATTTCGGTCTTCTGGGAAAAGGCTTCTCAGGTTAGACTGATCGAATCTTGTTCGTAATTCATTGCTTCGCGTGCCAGTATGTTTATGTGATCATTTGACCATTCGAGAATTTGATATTTCTTAGAACATTATACAAATCCGTCTGTTTTCATCATACCCATTTCAGTTTCTATCCAATGCATCTCAGGTTAATGATTTCATTGTCCATCTTTCTCATTTTTTGAATCAAGCCCCCCTCCCCACCTTTTTTTTATCTTTTACTCGTATGTGTTATTTGTATGTATATCAGTGTATTCATGTTTCATGAATGGAATGCTATCGGCAATGCGGACGATCGGGGACTGCAGGGAAATGGGTTTTTAGTGGATGTGTAAAATTTTGCTATTGACTAGTAGTATGCAGATTGGTATGTCTAGTAGCTTGTATATGTGTGTGTGATTTAATATATTAATTTTACTGTTTACCATTTCAGTGGATTAATTGTGTATGGATCTTAATTTAGTTTCTTTATCTGATCGATTTAGTTTAAGCTTTAAAAATAATTCTAAGAAAGGAATTTGGATTGGATCCAAGTTTCCCACATCTGCTTGCAAACTGTAATAGTATCTTGATGTCTTATCGAAACACTCTTGTTGTGGTACGATGATTCTAAATACTGCCTGTGGTGATTTTGTATTTATTTCTTTTGAATATTTGTACTTCTCTGTAATCACTAAAATGATGGAGAAAGGGAAGTTATATGTGGAACTATACCGAATCATAACTGAGCTTAGGTAATTTTTAGTTTTATTATATTCATGTTATTGTTGTTCGATTGAATGCAGTTGAGCTGATTTATTTTTCATTTGTTATTCAGAAAAGACGTCTGAGGGAACGCGCATGGGTAATGGTCTTGATGAAGTAAATAAAGACACATCTGATCATTTGATAAAGACGGTAAATCTACGTTCTTAGTTACAATTTTGGACAATTATAACTTATAAGTTTACTTTTGCTCAT